GACAACCTGAAGCCACCCTGGGAACATACCTAATGCAGGGAGCAGGCTTCTTTCTACTGTAGACTGGGTTGATTAAAAAGTGTACTTTTGCATCCAGCCAAATTTGGAAGCAACATGACCAGTGTTACATCCAAGGTCAGGAATGCAGCCCTGGTAGAAAGCTGCGGGGCTGGCAGGGTGTGTGTTGGTGGGGCACCCCAGCACAAACTCTTATTATGACCCATGTTTCTCTGTGCTGGTATCCTGCCTTGTGATTATCACTGTATGGTTTCAGCCCCAAACCTTATGGGATGGGCCACTTGGGCTCTTATGTAAACAAATGCCTCTGGTAAACACAGCCCCCAAGTAATTGCATGGCTGAAGTTAATCCTGAGTTCCTGGACCCTACGAGTAATCACCTGTACCCGCCCAACTGGACACAGAATAGGAACATAATGGAACTGTGTTGACAGAGTAACTAGAAACAACCAAGATACAACAATCACCCAGCTGAGAGCTAAGCAGCTGGGGACCAAGGAGCAGAGTGATTTGGGTAGACTGGGAAGATGTTTTGGATGTAGAAACGACAGAACAGCTGATGACTAAGACGGGGGGCCTTAAGGAAAGAGGAGAAAAGCCACCACTTGGGCACATGCACTCAAAGGTACAGTAGTGTCATTTACTGAGATGGGAAGATAAGCAGATGAGTGAGTTTGTTTGTTGGAGGTACGTGGAGGTGATGTGGAAATCGAGGGTACTCTCTTGAATGCATCGTGTTTGAGACGCAGTTTAGATCTCTAAGTGGAGAGCAGCCAGTGGGCACATCCATTCACTTTGGGGCCAGAGACACAGAGTTAAGAATTAGGTAGCATCTGAGGCCAGAACTAGACAATGATCACTGGGACAGGGAGTGAGGCAGAGAAGAAAGGGGGACTCAGGACTAATGTGTGGGCCCTCCAGCCTTGTAAGGTAGAAAACAGAAAAAAAAGGGGGGGATAGGAATGGCCTGTGTAATAGGAATAAAGGCAGAATGTAGTTTTAGGGAAGTCACAGGCCACGGTGGGAGTCAGTGGTGGAGTTGAGGGGAAGGAACATACTTTAAGAAGGAAAAGAAGAAACTGTGACAAACACTGAGGATAGCACAGGTAAAAGTAGGACTGAAAAATACTCCTCAGGTTTATATCCCTCACCATGAGGGCCAGGGCTGGCACATAGTAGATGGTTGATAAATGTAAGCTAAATTAATTAAAGGACCTAGGCCAGGAATATAGAATATTTTTGGCTTCTTGATTACCACTTCCTGTCTTCCTGCCTACCTCCCTGACAGAAGATCAAACATTAAATATCCATTATTGTCTTCTCTTTTTTTGAATGTGGGTAGTCCCAGAAGCCTGAATCTTGGGGGCAGAAACATCCAGTAACTGTAATCAGCATGCAAATTCTCCCTGCAATGGATGGGACAATCAGACAGGACTTTATATCAGAGTTGTCAAAAAGGATCCTCGTCTGAGGAGGTGCAGGTGAAGGCATGAGACACTTGCTAACGGTCCTGCAAAGAAGATTCCTGCATAGGTAGGATTAGAAGTACATAATTACTAAACCCCTTCATCCCCTCATAGGACTCTCCCTACCTTTAATCAGGATGTTCAAAGCACAGGAAGAAAACCCCAACCCAGTGCAGGATTCATGTAAGTGAACTATATCTCCTAAAACTTCCTTTTATGCATTTCTTCTCCCTCTTATCTTTATTGGCCTCCTGAAATGTCTTATCTGCAAATACATGATTCAGTTCTAAATCTCTGTCCACAAACACAATTACCATTTCTGCTGCTTCCACTAGGTAAAAATGAATCACAAGATGCAAGACATTAACTTACACACCCAGCCCTAGGCAGACTGTCTTCATCTCTAAATGATGCATTCCCCCACATAACACAACAGCAGACGGTTTTTTTCTTCAGCCCAAGGTACTTAGCATTGCGGAGAGACATCTGCTTCAGACAAATCTTGGGTCTTGGGAGGCTTAATACTTTGACATTTATTCCTCCTCACCACCTGGAGGCCTGGGAGTCCATTTGTGGACTCCACCTCCCACTGCCTTAGAAGCTAATGAGCTCTGGGTTCACAGCCATACAGGTTGGAGCTCTCCTGGTTAGACTCATGCATCCACCTCATGGGAGAAAGAGCAGAGCATAACCCCCAGGAGCCTCTGCAACACCTAGCTCCTTTCCCCTCTATCCATTCCTTCAACAAACATGTGCTTTGTGCCAGGCTCTATGCTGTTTTCGAGAATAGAATCTGCAGGTACAGTGAAAAGTAAGATTTATCCCCTTTTTGGCTTTTATTTTTAACCTGGGTATTATGAATAGGATGCAGAAATTCTTGGTATCCCTCTGAAGTGCTATGAAACAATGTCACGTGTGGGCCCAGAGGGTTACAATTTTTGTCAGATTCCAAATCTGAAAGGGTTTGGGTATCATTGGAAACCTTAGAGTCAGCTTTATCCCTTTCCATCCTGCCTCGTCACATGGAAACCAATCACCAAGGGTCATCACTTTTTTCTCCAAATTGCACTAGTTCTTTTCATTACTCCCTACTGAATCCTTCTAACCTCATCTCACTCGTTAACTGGAAACAGCTTCTGAGTATCTGCCTGTCCTTGTCCTGCTCTCATCTCCGCAAGGCAGACAGCACAGATTTTCAGATCTCTAATCTGATCACCTCAACGTTTTGTTTGAATTCTAACATCTTCCCACAGCTCTGAGCGCAAATGACAAACTATACTATTCACACGAATGTTTGCAATCTCAACAGCACAAAACCCTTGGCTATTACCTTTATTTATAGACTGCTGCCCCATCCTACTTCTTTGCTTTCTTCAAGCTCTCCGTTTGCTCTCTTACCACTGGGTTTGTACCAAATTGTACTGTAATGATCGTGCCAACTGTTGGCTCCTCCTGGCCTTCCTGAGCAGGTCAACCACTCTGTTTGTTGAACCTCAAAGCTCCAAGAACTTCTTGCTCTTTGTCAAGTTAGAATTTCGCGGGCTCTATTTGACCCATTGATTAGCATCTATCATTTATCCTTCAGCAAACTCAACCACACGTTATTGTGTCTCCTGGGCTTAGTATAATACCAGGCACATGGACAGCAAGGGATTGATTAATACTTAGTGAAAGAACAAATGAATAATCAAGTGGGTGAATAAAGAGTCAGTGTTGTAGACAGATGCTCAGATAAGGAACTTACCCTGAACTGTTGACGGTGCAGGAGAGAGGGATTATCTCCTCAGAAGGCCCTGGGTGGGCCTCGTCTGCAGAGTCTTCTCCAGAGCTTTTGATGTAGTGCATGTAAACAATGATCATTGATTGAATGCATGACATGGCAACTACCTCTTCCTGAGAGAGCCAGCGGAGACTCCAGAGGACTCGGCACCAGACATCTGTCACAAAGGAAAACTGAAAATATTCCAATCAGACAGAGAAAAGGGAAGGGCGGTAGGCAAAGAGAATTTCAAACAGAAGAAAAGGTGAATACCAAGACATTAGGCCACAAAAAGGGAGGGACAATTCCATGGCGAAAGAGAAGGCTAAGTGAAGTGGACATAGAGATGTGCTCTGTGGATCTCTTTCTGGAAGGATTTGTTTCCAGCTCCTGGGAGTACAGGGCAAAAACACATCCAGCTATCAGCCACTCAGGGTGGCAGCTGACAGAGCCTTCTCCTCCCAGAACAGCCGACTCCCCTGTCTGGTTGAGACAGGAACAAAGGCCCAGGCATTCAGGTTTAGTGGGTCACAGCTCCAGCAGCTTTTCGTACAGATCTCCTGATGGGCTCTCAGAGGCCTCTGTTAACCCGCATCACCCCAGCTTGCTCCTTGCATCTTCCGTCTCACAGTGATGGTCTCCCTTGAGCACTGAACTTTGCATCTTCAGAGTCTGCTTCTGAGGGAACTGTTCTGCAAACCTGGGTCTGGCCACCAGGGTGGATTTATGCAGAGGAAGCAACTAGAAAGGCAGTGTGGAGCAAAATGGTTGGGACGCTCTGATTGGTGCTCAGGTGTGTGGATTTAACCTCCCAAGTGCCACATTCGGAGTCCTGTATGGGGACAACCTGGCCGGCTGTTGTGTGGTGATGACATTGAGAGGAGGTGGACCCACTGGATGGTGGCTGGATTGGCCCGTGGAGGAAACACGTGGCTCCCAGCAGGAAAAGGGATGGCTGAGGGGGAAAAGGTGTGCTGAGCAATGTGAAGGAAAAATCAATAGCTCACATAGGACGCACTGACCAAGGGGGCAGAGTACAGGACAGAGTACAGTTAGTGCACAATGATAACAAGAGAACACATTAATTTTCAGGCATGATAGGGGAACCAATGCTATCTTGGGTTAAAATACCAACTTCGGGAGCAGTTCCTTCTCCTGAGACCATTTTCCTGTGATGCCCATGTAGAGAATTAAAATGATGACTGGAACATTTCTGCAGGTAATATACCGGCAGGATCTGATGCAAAAGGAATGATCAAAAAAGTTTTAGTTTGTTCATTAGTTAAGACCGCAAGTCTTTCTGCCTGATATGATCAGTCACCAAGCTTCCCAAAGAATGCTCTTGTGTCAAACACAGGGCTTCACATAGGAGAGGGAGGAAAGGGATGAATCTCCGAGAAGGAAAATTGGAACAATATCCAATGAAGATGGGCCTAGCAGGGACCTCAATCCTTCCACAAGTATTTACTGGGCATTTCTGCATACACTAGGCAAGGGGCTGGGAAATGCAGTGGTGAATAAATCCCTGCAGACTCTGTGTCAGCAAGCAAGCACACGTGAGGAAATGCAACAAATATAAATTAAGTGCCATTGTGACCAGCGTGGCCCTCACCATCCACATAATTCAAACGTCTTCCTATTAGGCATTTGCTGCTATGTGTTACTTTTGAACTGGAATTTCCTTTCAAGTTTTTCCCATTCATCAGGACACAACAGCCGGAGTAGACAGGCATACCAGTTCTGATCTGACCCCTTACCTGTCACGTGGCCTTGAGTAAACTACACAACCATCAAATGGAGACAATTATCCCAATGCCCGGAAGTACATTAAGACATCGTAGACACGAGCTAGTCTGTGATAGGAGCTGTGCCAAATGGGGTTGCTGAGGGATAGAGAGAAATAATTATTTTAAAGTATGGATGTGGGTTATTATATAATTTGTGAGGCCCAGCGGAAAAGTGAAATTAAGAGGCCTCTTACTCAAAAATTAAGAAGAGGGGCTGGGGATTTAGCTCAGTGGTTCTGCCGCCTGCCTCTCAAATGCAAGGTCACGAGTTTGATCTCTGGTTCCAAAAAAAAACAAAATTGTGAAGAATTTCAAGATAGTGACAGGAGTGTCCTTGTGGGTGTGAAACCCTCTGTGATCACACTGGCTGCAAACCCATGAAGTCAGCCTTGGATGTGACTTCTATTCCTATCTCTTGTGAAGTCCTACTTCCCAGGTACTTCTAAGATGTATTCTATAATGTTTTTGGTTTTTTTTGTTGTTGTTGTTGTTTTTGAGACAGGGTCTCACTACGTAGTTGAGACTGGCCTGGAACTCACTATGTAACCAAGGCTCGTCTCGAACTCACAGCGATCCTCCTGCCTCAGCCTCCCCAGTGCTGGGATTACAGGCGTGCACCACCACGCCCGGCTTGTATTCTATAATGAATACAGTTCTAGTGTACAAGGTATATTTTGTTTACTTTGTTATTATATATTGGTGACCAAAAACTTGAGCAATTTTCTTAGTGTGAATGTGTGCTAAATCCATACATGCTGAGCTAATATCTAAAATATGTAAATAACAAAAAAATTAGCCCCCCAATAAAAGACCCAATCAAAAAATGGGCACGTTAAATGAATAAAGACTTTTCAATAGTATAAATGTCTAACAAACAGATGAAGAAATGCTTGACATCTCTGGCCATTACAGACATGCAAATTAAAACAACACTGAGATTCCATCTTGCTCCAGAAATAATATTCACCATCAAGAAATCAAATAACAAATGATGGTGAGGCTTCAGGGGGAAAGGACCATTCTACGTTGCTGGTGGGAATGTAAACCAGCACAACCACTATGGAGTCAGTGTAAATAATCCTCACAAGACTAAAATTAGGTCTCCCATTCAACTAAGCTGTTCCCCTTCCTAGTTATCTTCCCCAAAGTGTTAAAGACGATATATTACATGGATACATGCACACCTATACTTATAACAGCATGCTTCGTGGGAGCTAAATCTTGGAAGCTACCTATATACCCATCAACAAATGAGTGGATAAAGAAAATGCAGTATTTATACACAATGGAGTACAACTCTGTTGTAAAGAAGGATACACTTGAGTCATGTGTAAAAGACGGGTGCACCTTGACACCATCACTTTAAGTGAAACTTACCGACATACAAGCTTTAGTAGCACAAGGTCTCTTCTATGTGACAACCCAAAATGTAAAAACATAGCAAAATGAAAAAAAATAGATCGTAGAAAATAGGGAGTTATATCATTCTCAAATGGGAACGGGGTCAAGAGATGTGGGGGAGGGGAGGAGGAGTGGACGTAAGAGAATTAAGCTGTGTGGTTTCCGTGTACCAACTCCCTACGTGACAAGTAAGCATTATGTACTGCAAACATGGACTAGTAAAAAATAACTTAAAAACACAAAAGCTACAACAAAACAACATATATGCTATCCCATGACTTCAGAGATTTTCAAGAATGCTTTTTAGCCCATTTTCCCTTTATGCAGTGTCTTCCTTGTGCCTGCAGGAGATGAGAGTCCACTGTAGATGAGAGCCTATCATTTTTACCTGAGCCGATCTTTCAGTAGAGTCAGACCACAGGCCTCGCCTCCAGACCTCTGTGCCATCCTCATTTCACTCAGAGTGGGGGAAAGTTTCATTCAAAGTTTCACAGCATGTAAGTGGCAGGTCTGAGATTCAAACTCGCGTCTTCGGCCCTTAAGAGCCCTACTTACTCAGTACTGTCTTAATAAGCGTCTCCTTGCTTCTTACAACTTTCTCCTTCAAGCCTTGCCCCAACCTATGAAAGGAAGAATAGCTTGGTGAACAGAAAAACCTGCTTTTCTGCATGCTGGTCACAGAGCGTTCCCGTTCCGTTCAGGCACGTAAGGCTGGAGGCGGATCGGCAGGAGCAGCCGGGTCTGACCTGTGCTTCTAGCGCCCTGATTGCTACACTGTGAAGGCTCAGGGCTGACATCACTGGTTCAGCCTCCAAAATGTGAGCCCATGTGGAGAGAATGTTAGGGGGTGCGGATAAAGGTCATTTTAGAATGAGTGCTACCTGTAATTAATGTTACAATTAAAAGCTCTGTCGCTGACAGATGAGTCAGAGTGAACTCGATGTTGAAACTACATGCTGTTGTGTTGCTTAAATACTCACTTTGGAACATGAAACTCAATTTCCTGATCAATGCACACAAAATTCTGGGTTGAGAACATCTTATAAAATGTAGGGAAAAAGCAGTTCGTAGGTTGAATTTCCTAAATGTGCATACATAAACAAACACACACATATGCATGCTTCTAAGTTTGTCATGTCCCTTTAAAAGTTTCTATTATCTTCTCTTACCATTAAGACCTGCTATGATCCAATCCCAACTCCCCTTCCTATAGTCACCTTCCCTAGTCCCTTCTTCAGATGTCCAAATCTTTCCATTATTCTAGAAGCAGATTAGACGCAAGTGCTGCCCCAGGCTGTGAGGAAGAAATGCAGGCCCTGAAAGGTCTTGACTTATCTGCCAAATGGTGAGAAATGAAATGTATTCCCTAAGTTAGCTGCGGTTGCCCTCTTCAACCTCCTCTGGGCATATTTGTCCTCTTTGTATGGAGTCAACCCCTTCCTTCCCTCGGTGTCCTCTGCTCTGGGTTCACACATCTATTATTGGGCTCAGCATGATGCATTGAGTGGCATGGTTGACCCACTACCCTGTCCCCATGAGCTCGGAGAATACGTGCCGTGCCACTGTGAGGAGCCATAGGATCATGGCAATAACACCAAACTGTGGGGTGCTGGAGAGTGACATCCTCACATTGTTCCTCCTTTGTACTACTTTTGTGCTTGCCCTGTTTCTATGAACAGAGCAGAACTTCAAGAAATGTTAACTTGGTGTATTTGCAGCCATTAAGATGGCTTTTAATGGTCACAGATCTGCCACATGCTGTGTGGCATTTGATATCTCTTGGCAGAAGGATAATCAAGTTGATTACTTGATAAAATCACTCTTACCAGACTAAGGTGTGAAGGCATATCCAAGGAAAAATATGCTCTTAACTAACACAGATGCTATTGTGTTAAATTATTTAAGAATTAAAAATCGCATGGGAGGTGTAACCAAGACAGCATCGATGTGGAAGGAGAAACTCAATGTATCTGTTTCCTGTTGATAAAGAGTCACCTGGCCCATTTTGGTGGTGTGGTAGAGCTATTAGTCTTGACTCTCACAAATCAATGTTAATATTAATAATACTGCCAGTTAGTGGTTTAGTACAAGCCAGGTGCGTGGTGAGCCTTTTCAGATGCTATCACATTAAATCCTCCCAACTGCCCCACGAGGAAGGTAGCATCATTACTGTTCACATTCCATATCCTACTCTGGAGATTAAGCCCAAGAGGTAAGATAGCTTCTCTGATGTTGCAAAGTAAAGAATCTAGGTCTGGTGTTCTCTAAATCCATGCTCTAAGCCTGTTCTGTAGGGTAAGGTAGGCTCTCGGGTGAAGCTTTTAGTTAAATGGCAGAGGAGACCACCTATTAAATAGACTCTCCTCCTCATTTTGTAAATGATAAAACTGAGGCCCAAAGAGGTGAAGACATGTGAGGTCTTAGAATCTCGTGGTGGAAACAGACTTCTATTCACCCAGAGGCTCTTACATCCAATTATTGCCCTTATCTACCCTACTTAGATATAGTTTCTCTATCATACCTAGCAAAAGTTACAGTTCAATTTGTATTTCTTTTCTATTGGCTATACAGATTAGCAAGTTTCATTCTGGCAGGTTTGTCCGTATCCTTAATGCACTTGATCATTTTCTCCTGCTATCATTACCCACTGCCTCTTCTCTCCCCTTAGTTTCATATTTCAGGAGGGATCTCAGCATGCATGTGTTTTGCTCAAATCAACCCCCACAGTGGTTGTCAATACATTCAAAGAAGCACATGTTCATCATCACAACTTTTTATAACCACCCCAAAATCTCCATATCCATTAGTGGTGGTCCGTGTCACAGCTCCAACCTCACTCATCCTTAGAAACCATTAATCTGCCTCTATGTGTTTGCCTACCCCAGATATTTCACATGAATAGATTAATGCAACAGATGGTCTTCTGTGACTGGCTTCTTTAACTCGTCTTAATATATGCTTTTGGATATAATGAAGTCACTTCAGTATATGGCTGTGACTTAGTGGCACCAATGAGGAGTGGCTGGTCAGTGGAGTGACACATCTGCCCCAATCTTTACTAGCCCCATCATATAAGCTACTCCAAAATTTAAGTTAGAACGGAGTGCTTGATGGTGTTATGGGTTGAATTCTGAAACAACCTCAAATTTCATGCATCAAAACTCTAATATCACAAATTATGAGTTCTACTCAAGCTATGAGCTTTACAGAGGCAATTAAGTTAAAATGAGGTCATTAGAGTGGAGTCCAATCCAGTAGAGCTTGTGTCCTTATAAGAACTGAAGCTCTGGAGACACTGGAGACACACACACACACACACACACACACACACACACACACACACAGGAACTGAACTGCCACAAGCCAAGGGACTATGAGAAGTTACAGAGGCCTAGAACAGAAGGACCCAACCTACCAGCACCTTTATTTTGGGCTTCCAGCTTCCACATCTGAGACATAATAGATTTTTAATGTTCAGGCCATCCCATTTATGGTACTTTATTATAGCAACCTAGCAAACTGAAATGATTTTTAAACACAGCTTGTACTCACTTCTATGGGTCATCTCCCTGACAAGTACATTGCTATTCTTATACTCTCCCTTAGCTGAAAACCAGCAAGTCTTTAAAATCAAATCTCTGAGATTTTTATGCAATCCTGGCTTTCTTACAGATCTTTCTATTTAGGCAATGGTACCCTATTCAAAAAGATGTAAGGCCAGAATTCTGAAAGGCATGTTTGGCCCTTCTACTTTTCATGCCACTCTTCCGTCTAACACACACACACACACACACACACACACACACACACACACACACACTGTATGTGTGGAGGCAGGGGGAATGTCTTCTAGGCCAGGAGAGGGCTTCACAGGAATATTTCATCAAAGTTTGGGAGACAAATAATTTCAAAATTGTTTAAAACTCTCCAAGTCATTAAAACTTAAACTTGAAAATTCCTTCATGCAATCATCAAAATATTATTAGAAACTTAAAAAAATACACACACACACACACACACACACACACACACACACACACAAGAAAGCAAAGAAAATCACAGAATCTGGATAAAGAATATCCATACAAACTCTAAGTAAGGTATTAAGTTGCATAATCCATGACCGTTTAAAGGAATAATATTATCATGATCAAGTGAAAATTAGTTCAGGAAAGCAAGTCTATTTCCCCTTGCTGTACTGGCCCAGAATCTTATCATCTGAGAAAATCAGAGAGTTGCCTGTTAAAACATGCCTTGCCCGTCACTCTGTAGCCTAATCTACTCTTGATATTTCTAAATATTTTTTTCATGGTTTTCCAGGAATCTTTACAAGTCCCTTGGCTCTGGAAACCATGTTTTCCCCCTTTTAAGTACACTCCTGGCTCTGCCAAACGTTAATCTATTGAAATGTCTGTCTACACAGACCCTCTTGCCAATATACATGTAGAAAAAACACCAAGAACATCCATCCAATGGGGTTGACAATATATAATAGACAAAAACAACCTTTCCCACATAAGAATTAGAATTTTAAAGCCAAAAATGCATTTCTTAGGAAAATTTTCCGGGAATAGTCATTAAAGCCTGAAATCCAATCCAACACTGTATCGCTGTGATTATCTATTGCTGTATAACAAAACAACATCCAAATAGTAATAATAATTTACTATTGCCCTGGGAGTCCTGTGAGTTGCCTGGGCTCAGCTGGCAGGTCCTTCACTGTTTCGCATGTGGCCAGGGCTAGTTGGCAGCTGGGCCATCCTGGCTGCAAGCTTCACCTGGCTGCGGGCCCCAAATGGCTCTCAAGTGGCAGGCACCTGGTGTGAGCTGTGGTGGAGAGACTGACAACACTCATGGCCAGAGTGCACACTGCAGGGCCAGATAAGCTCAGAGACATTAACAGACACAGCAGCCAACATCTGGCTGAGACAGACCCACCATCACCTCCGCTGTATCCTCTATATCTTGGTTGCCCAACATGTCAGCTTGCTTAGACCGGACTGAGTGAACAGAAATTGTGTTGGGATATATATAAAATAGATAACTTACTTCCTATAGCAAAGCTGCTATAAAGCTATTCTAACTTATGAAATAATTTCACAAAATAACAAGCCCCAGTTTAATAATTCAATAAGAAATATTACATGTGTGCTTACTAAGAATACATGCCCTTCTTTGCAGGCACACCACACACACACACACACACACACACACACACACACACACACACTCGTGTTTAGGTAACTTGAAATACCATTGTCTAGAATAGCTGTGTTTTCCCCACCAAGCCACACATGTAACCTTTGCTTCAGGTGGATTTCCACTGGACAGACTGTGTTGTGGAGTCACAGGAGGTGAAGTCAACTCCACACTGCACCCCCAGGCACATGACCTCCCCTCTGCACCTGCCAGCCCCCACCCAGGCACTGTGCAATCCGTCATGGAGAACAGCACTAAATATCACATAGTTGTGTTCAAGGCTGTCATGTCATACAGGCCCCATCAGCTGCCATCCAGAGCCATAGCAGCCCACGGGCCAGCACGTGGCTGAGTCAGGCGAGGCTGGGCTCCTGGCTGAGCAGACTTGGCAACTGTCTAAGCCCATGTGTAAAATAGAAAC